ATCTCACCGTGAGTCAGTGGTGAAGGCTTCATCACACTTTACTGTTGTGCTTGGAACAAACTACATCAATGAAATTTCAGAATGGCACTTGTAGGTTCTAGTGAAAGGATTTTTTTTAAATTGACTTCCTAGATAGTCTATTGTACATGTCTGCTTTAAGAAAGTAGACATTTATTTAGAGGGTTTTTTTTTGAGATTTTTTTGTTCTTCATTTGTTTCGATTTTTTAAATATGAACTGTAGAACCTCTAGTAAATTTAATTCACATAATTTCACTCCTCTGAAATTGTGAATTCTGAAATCTTTACAGTTAAATCCCATAGCACTATCTTTTTCTCATTGGTATCATTATTCTTACAAGTCCATTTCTGGTCATAAACATTTACACAAAACCTTATCTGATATGGAAGGCAAATTACATAGAGACTAAGAAAAAAAAAGTACACTGTAGCTTGAAGAAAAAGACTGGTGCTATTCTTGCCAGGATTGGTTGACACTCTTCCTTTCCATGGCTGTTTTAGCCTGTGCTTATATTGTTCTTTTACCTCAGGTATAATAGAAAACCCCTATTTTAATGTTAATTTCCAGCTAGTTGGAGCTCTGGTCTATCTGCCAGTGAATGGTTTGTTTTGAAATCCCCTAAATCAGGGTTCTGCAATGCCTTTCTCACAATTCAGGGCATGGCTTTCTACATTGTATTCATGGATCATCTGAGGCATGTGGTAATCTTCCTGCCTCTACTAAGGGACCTGCTTATGTGAACTAAAGTAAGACAGTGATGGAAGGCATGCAGGGGTTGTTATTCTACTGCACAGAAAGTGCAAGTCACACTAAACCCTTTGTCTGGCCATAGGAGATTCTGTACGTCGTGCATTTCCCATGGAAAGAAGCTGCATGACCCCTCTGGAGGATGCAGGAAAAAAAAAGGTAAATGTTGAGGCCCTTTCCAATGTGATGATGTCAGGAAACCTTAACTTTTCATGTGGTACCTCTTCTGGTGTGTGTTCTGTGTCTTTTTAAAAAGCAAAATCTTCCCCAAGAGCCTACAGAATTCCCACCTCACTGGAATCTTGACATCTCCAGAAGGGTTAGAGGCTGAGGCCTGAGGTTTCACTCTGCACATCCAGTGAGAAGTCCTTGTTAGGCAGGGAAGCAAGGCCCATAAGGGAGGGACTTGCAGTCAGAGTTGGTATGAACTGCCTTTCTGCCTCCTATAAACAGTATGAACCTGAGAAAACTTTTTTTCCTCAGGAAGTCACTGGTCTCTTGGTGTCAGAGCAGATAGTCTGTTAAGTATGTTTAGGTCCTTATTAGCTTACAGAGTTCTGAAAATCAAATAGGACAAGAAAAACCCAGAGACAGTTTTCCGCAGAGTAGCTGTTCCTACTTGTTGGGTAAACAGACTCTTTGTTTGCTCTCATTTCTCTGTTAACTGGTTGGTAATGAGTATCTGTGGTGGGGGTGGTGAGGGAGAGGTGGGACTTGTCCTGGACATAGATGCTCCTGTGTCTGGAATATGTCCTGTTATTAGTCTGCAATTATCTTATTTCATCCATTGGGTCCGATCCCTAGCCTTTCCTACATGGATAGATCCAGGCCATGACATGTGGTTCAAATAGTTTATTCCTATGACTGTTGGGTCCGATCCCTAGCCTTTCCTACATGGATAGATCCAGGCCATGACATGTGGTTCAAATAGTTTATTCCTATGACTGCCCCTCTCTCCCTTCGCTTTTGCCAGAACTCAGTAGAAGGGAGACTTTTGTGGCCATTATGAGTACTGGTAGAAGGGAAGGAGCCAGGGA